CATTTGCTTTGATATAGGCTGAGCAGAGTATGCAGGTCATGGTCCTCTTGTATTGTTCATGAGACTCATGAGTTTTTCATAATCAGCTTTGGTAAGCTTCACTTTCGTTCTTCTTGATCAGTTGATATGGCATATACAAATTGTCTTCCTCTCCCTTTTGCATTGTTGTTGCTTCTTTGACTGAAGTTAGAGGGAAACAATGAATCAAAAGCACCTATCTTCAGTGTTCCCTTGTCTTTTCATTTTTTGCATTCAAATACTTTTCTTTGCACATTCGGAATTTCTATTGTTCATATTAGGAGGCCATCCATGCTTGTGATAGCAAATCTCTTAAATTTGACTTTCTCTTATGCAATAAGTACAATATGGCCTCTTGGTATTGGATCTAGACCTCATTTTTTCACCTTGTCCACTAAGAGCCAAACTTTCGGTTTATACATTAGCCAAAACTTTTCATTTGTTGTATTCCATATAAACTACCTTTCATGCTTCCGCATCCTTTGGAGAACCTTGTTAATACTAGGCAACTCATCCCCAAAAGTAGGAATGGGTGAAGTGTATATGGGTTTGGGTAGGGTATGGATCTTGCTTCCATAACCTAAATGGGTATAGGTTGGGTATGGAAACCTATTTACTTGAGTGTTTTAACTACATATACAAAAATTGGATATATTTGTAAGAACTTAAAAGGTTTAGGTATAACAATGTAATACACATTTTTAGGTACTAAAATGTAATTTTCCATCGATATTTTGAGGACTTATATGCAAAAAAATTATCTACTAAATCTAAAGATCTATCAAGTATAGGTACCAAATTGTAATTTACCAATGGATATGGGTACAAACCCAAATTCATGTATTAAAAACCCAACCCAAATAAATGGGTATGGGTACAAACCATTAAACCTTAACCATTTACATCTATTTGGAATTTATACCCAACCCAATTTAGGGATGGCAATTTTGACCTGACCCGTTTTACCCGACCTGTTTGACATGTTTTGGAGCAGGTCCGGCCCGCCATGGGTAGTATCATTGACCCGACCTGCCCTGACCCGCCCCATTCTTGACCCGTTATTGTCTAAATTACATGTAATCTTAGTCAAATTACTTAGGATTTTTCTTTTATTGCATCATATTTTAGCTATAATAAAGTTGTAAATTAGTGAAAACCTTAATTTCTCCAATAATTTAACTACAATTATCACAATCTTGTTTGTTTTCTTAGTCTTATAATGAAAATAACGAATATTTCTAATGTTTTTCATATAAATTGCATACCCATTGGGTCGACCTGCCCTGACCCGCGACCCGTGATCAATTACCCGACCTGCCACGGGGCGGGTTTGGTTACCAAGAAACCCGCCCTGGACCTGCCCATTGCAATTTCTAACCCAATTGGGTTGGATAATAAATTACCTATGGATATGGGCAAAATTTACATCCCTGCTCACAAGGTACTAAAGATCTTACAGTTGATATTTTTTTTCATTCAAACTTCTTAGAAACTTGATAATATAATTTGTATCATGGTATTCAAGAACCGTCTTTGTGGCTCTAAATCCCTGTGACTTGTTGGAGTACAATCACAAAGAATCAGTGGCTCATTGTTGTTTAATTCATCTTTCATAGTGACAACCTTACCAGCTTCATACCTTGCTTGCAAGCTTCTAGCTCCATGCTTCAGCTACTATTTTGCTGGAGAAAATAGTCTTCTTATCTCTGAATCTACAGCTTTCTGGATCCAGCTTAAAATCATAACATTATTCTTGATCCAAGCTCCTCTTACTGGATCTGCTTCACCAGGTTCAAGAATAGAACCATCAAGAAAACCCAGTTTGTTTTTTTTTATGTTATGGCATTTTGCATTCCCCTGCTCCTTAGGGGTGGGATTTTGGTTTCGAGTTTTCAGGTTAAACCGAACCCAAACCGGTAATACTGTTTTTGGTTTTCGGGTTTTTTGGTTTCAACCCGAAACGAGATACAAAACGGTTTCGGTTTATGTAACCCGAAAACCGATACAAACCCAAAAGTGACTTTTACGGTGACGTTTGGGACAATGGACCTCTAGCATTTAGGGTTCGATTTTCATCTCCTTGCGAGTTGCGACTTGTGACAGATAGACTGCTCGAGTTGCGAATTGCGACTAACGACTGCTCGAGTTGCGACTTGCGACTGACGACTGCTCGAGGTCGAGGTCGAGGCTTCGCCGCTTCCCGGATCAGGAAACCCTCAACGCCCTCGCCGCCATCGCCCATCAGCCTCCTTGCTCGAGGATTTGCCGCTTTGGAGATCGAGAAACACCAAAACAGAGCCTCCCTTCTCAGCTTCTAGTCTTCTACCAGTTAAACTCCTCGGCCCTCGCCGCCATCAACGTCCTCGCCGGCGCCATCAGCCTCAAGGGGATCTCCGACTTTGCCTTTCCTCCGCCTCCCAGCAATGCAGCAACCCAGATTCGAAATCAGCGTTTTGGTGTTGTTCTGAATTCTGATGATTTAGTTCCAAATCTGGTTCGAGTCTTCAAGTTGGTCAATTTTCCCATCAAGGCAGCCACCTATCTAGGCTCGATTCTCATCTCCCAAACTACTTCCCGCAGTCGTATCTTCAGACTTCAATCATGAATATGGCATCCCAGTAAGCATTATTTTCTTTCAGGCTAAATCATCAGAACCATGTTGCAATTTGGACAGGCTAGCTGCTGTGAGGGAGAGGATTGAACAAAGTCTTTGATTGATCTGGAAGGCTGGGTGAATAAATCAAGACTTAATTTGGAAAATGAATATGTGGGTAGCAGCCAACAGGATGAGATTAGTAGTGGGATTGATTGGGGGGCTTTGTCCAGTCCAGTTCAGACTCCTGAGGCCATTTCCGTAGCGATTCAGAGCTTTTTTCCCTCGTTCTTTTGTTCAATGCTTTTGGGTTCAGAGGGGTACATTAGACATGTGAGCTGTGGCAGGTTGATGATGTTGCCTTCTCAAACTCATGATCGACTTTCTTTGCTTAATTTTCTTTGTTTCGGTTTGTAGTTGGGTTTCGGTTTAGGGAGAAACAGAGTGTGTCGAGTACGGGGGTCGAGGGGCATCTATGCTCTGTTTTTTTTAATTAACTTTGATGAAATCGTTGTTGACTTGTAGAGTTTGATAATGGGGAAAAATGAAAAGAGGGGATAGAAGAAGAAAAGAGACGGAGTTGTTTATTCCTGAGAAATGACAATAGCTTTTCGATTTCTCGTCCATTTCTCCTTTTTGCTTCCTGCTTTTTACTCTTTTCATTTTCTCTATGGCGCGCACCAGTCTGTTAAGTTTTATGCTAAATTCCATTAGACATTCCATCCTACTATGTTCTTCTAAACTCACGTGTTTTATTTTGGCAGGGAGAGTGAGGCACCATCGGCTTCTCGTCCTAAACGTGGAGGACGCTCTAAGAGTACCAGAATTCCTACTCCTGCACCGTCTTCCGATCCTGCTCCTGCACCGTCTACCGGTACCATCAATGTACCTCCTGCTCAAACAATAGACGAGGAGACAATTTCAAGAAAAAGGAAAGAAAAGTTTGGCGTTTGGCCACACTTCAAGCGTTATAAGAAGGATGGAGTGGACAAAGCAAGATGCATTTATTGCAATGGTGTTCTTATGGCTCCCACTAAATATGGGACTTCTACTCTGTGGAATCATAAAGATAGTTGTTTGGAAAAGATAGAAAAGGGTGAGCTGATAGTCGACCATCTATCATCTTCTGGAGGCCAGGTACACACTCTTGGCACTTGGAAATTCGATCAGATTGATGCTAGGAGAGCTTTAGCGGAGATGATTATCATAGATGAATTACCATTTAGGTATGTTGAACATGAAGGGTTCAAACGGTTTATGGCTCGTGTTTGTCCAATGTTTGTGTTACCTAGCCGTCAGACCGTTAGAGAGGATTGTATCAAGGTGTTCTTTGAAAATAGAGAGTTGCTGAAGGACTATTTCAAGACTAAGTGTTTAGGGATGGTATCGCTCACCACTGATACTTGGAATTCTTTGTCCAATCTCAATTATATGTGCATTACTGCTCATTTCATTGGTAGAGATTGGAAATTGCATAAAAGAATTATTAACTTTGTCCAAGTTACAAAACATTCTGGAATTGAAATTGGAAAACAGTTGGCTAGTTGTTTGGTGGAGTGGGGCATTAGGAAGGTGTTTTGTATAACAATGGACAATGCTAGTGTCAATGATGTGGTTGCTATCCATATGAAGGAACAGTTGAAAGAGTGGGGATCATATATTTTGGATGGAAAATATCTGCAGATGAGGTGTGTGGCTCACATTATTAATTTGGCTGTGAAGGATGGGCTTAAATAAACTGGTAAATCTGTGAAGCGAGTAAGAGAGTCTGTGAAGTGGATTAAATCAACACCAGCTAGGAGCAGAAAATTTAAAGATTGCATTGAGTTTGAAAAGATAGTGTCGAAGAAATTTGTTTCGTTGGATGTAGCTACAAGGTGGAACTCAACGTATCTGATGTTGGAATCTGCAAATTCATTTGAGAAAGCATTTCAGACATTAGCTAGAAATGATAAGAAATTCAAGAAACATCTCAATGAGAAAAAAATATGGAAATGAAAGCCTTGGTATCACAACTTCTGATGATTGGTTTAGTGTGGGACGGTTGATTGATTACCTGAAGCTATTCTATGATTTGACTGTTCGAGTTTCTGGGACTTCATACGTGACTTTACACCTCTTGTTTGATGAGGTATGTGAAATGTATACTATGATATCTGAGTGGGCTGATGTTATAGATTTTGAGGTGTCTTGCATGGCTGAGAGAATCAAGTCCAAACTTGCCAAGTATTGGTTTGAAGATGAGTTGGAGAATTCCAAGATGAATTGGTTGTGTTATATGGCAGTCATATTAGATCCTAGGCGGAAAGTTGAATATCTTGAACAAGCATTGAAAAAGGTATATGGTGAGAGCAGGGGTAAAGCTTTGGTCGAAGAGGTGAAAGATGAAATGCGTCTTCTGTTTGACCATTACAAGCATAAACTCGGCATTCATGGCAGTTCTCCCATTGTGATTCAGGAAGATGAGCAAGAACCTAGTGGAAGTGGGGATGGGAAGAAGAAAGGGAAGATTTGGGGTGATTTCAGGAAAATGAAAAGAGATGCCATTCTGAAAGGAACCAGAAAAAGTTCAAAATCTGAGTTTGATAGGTACCTTGAGGAGGAGGAGGATGATGAAGTGGTTACACGAGCATTGGTGGGTTCAGAAGAGGATGAATACAAGTTTGACATCTTGGGATGGTGGTCGCGAAGTGGGATGAAATATCCTATTAGTTCTGAGATGGCTAGAGATATTCTTGTTGTTCCTATTTCCACTGTTGCTTCTGAGTCGGCATTCAGCACAGGAGGTCTAGTTTTAGATTCGTTTAGGACCTCCTTATCCCCTGAAGTTGTGGAGGCTTTGATTTGTTGTGAAGATTGGATAAGATCTTCAGACTCCGAGTTGGTGGCTGATGGAGAAGATGAGGGTGATTAAGTGGTATTTCAAAATGGTAAGGATTTAATCTTTCCCTTTATTCTTATATTTGTTATCTTGATCAAGTCATATTCTAACAAGTTGTTATTGTTTATGTTATCCAGTATATGCAGCTTTTCAAGCTCGGAGTTCAAGTGCACCTGCAGGACCTAGTGGAAGCTCTCGTGCAGAACCTAGTGGAAGCTCTCCTGCTACCCATGTTTTGGTCTCGAGTCCTACTATGTCACAAGTGGAAGAAGACTATGTCGACGACAATTCTGATGAGAATGATGAGACTTATGTAGATGTAGAGCCTAATGAGGAGTGATAATGGTAGTAGTGTTTATCTTGTATGGTGGATGAATTTTTATTTTACTTGGATGTTATCATTTGAGAATTGTAAAACTAATGTGTTTAATTACGAGTTGAAGATAATCTCATCTATGATTGTCGGTATTTTATGTTGAACAAAATTATTTATAATTTTGCGCCAAACACCAAACATTTTTTTGCATATGATAGTTGATATACCTTCAATTTTGAACCTATGGTATTAATAAAACATTTAATTATATGAAAATCCACAATTAAATGAGCCAAAAGGTTGTATTACTTAACATAGCAAAATAAGATATGATTATGCCCAAAAGGTATTACTTAACATAGCAAAATAAGATATGATTAATTTACGTGTAAAATATGTTTAAGTATTTTACTGTCTCTAAACTAGTAATACTCTTTAATAGTTAATAGTATGTCTATAGTTATAAAACACATAAAATTAAATATTTTAATAATTAACTAATATTTTAATAATAAACTAATATATAAAAATATTAGTTTTACAATGTCCACGTCCCATAAAATTAAACATAATGGTTAAATAAGAATGTACAAATAATAAGAATAAAATTGATTGTACAAGCAAAAGAATATAAAATTCAAATCACAAAATTATTTATAAAAAAAACTTCAAACTGGTTCGGTTTCGGGTTCACCCGAACCGAACCAAAACCACAGTTATTTTTCGGGTTCCTGTACCCGAAACCCGCAAAGCATATGGTCGGTTTCGGTTTCGGGTTGGCAGGGTTCGTTTTTGGTTTCTCGGTGTTTTGCGGTTTTCGGGTTCGGTTACCCGATCCGAACCGAACCGACAGCCCTACTGCTCCTATCATTATAGTTGTTGGTGTTTAGCTTCTATGCAACCAGAAGTAGTCACGATTGTTCAGGCCCATGTATATAAAAAAGATCTTCCATCTAATAACTATTCATCGTTTTATTTTTTTGTTGTTGTTTATCAATATTGACTTGATCACTTTGGTCTGCCATGGCGGTGATTTAAGAGCTACCCAAAAGAAATTTCCCTTACATGTTAAGAACCAAACTCTAACACTATTAAAAGTGTTTTGTAGCAAATGAAACCCTAAGGCCTGAACGCTCTCATTCATCTCTTACAATATAGTCTGGTCAAGCCACTACACGACAACCATGCCCTATTGCTTGTGGTTCTCTGTTGTCGAACTTGAAAAGGAAATAAGTAGAAACTTGACAAAAAATGAAAAAGAAAATGAAGAGTAACACGACAATGCTTTGTTGATCTAAAATGCAGCACTTTAACCCTCTGTTTCCCAATGAAAGAAAGTAGGGGGAAAGGAAAATATAGAAGAAAGTGCAATTTCCGAGATATATCGCCCCGTTTTTTTAAGGAGGGAAAAGAAAGGAACGAAAAAACTTTCTTTCCTTTTCACTATAGAACTCAACTCTTTGAATTGTAGGGAAAAGATGAGGGACATGAGTTTACTAGGGGTGGCAACGGGGCGGATCGGGGCAGGGTACCCTGGATTCGTTGCCCACCCACCATGGGTCTCGGGTATCCCCGTCCCTGGCCCAAACGGACTTGCGGGCCTGGTTGGATAACCATCTCCGTCCCCAATGGTTAATCGGGTGCCCGCGGGTCTATAATACCCGCTACCAAACCATGAAAATAAAGATGAAAATGACAAAAAAAAAAAATCTGGAAACTGGACACTTTATTCATACTGACTGGTCTGTTAAAAAGACTTGAAATAAACAACTGAAAGCTTGCCAAGCAGCTCAGCAACAACAACCAAAAACAACAGCTGTTTCGTGTTTGTGATAGAAATGATCAAATCAAATGAACCAAACAACCAAAAAGAAGGACGTTCCCAAAATTCTAAATGTCTAATTCTTATCCAAAAATAGTAGACTGAAATAGTTCAAGCAACAACAACGCAGCAACATTCCATCTAGGTTCCAACAACATTGAATCATTGAGAAACCATCCACCCGACCACCCTTGACCCTCATTCCAATCGATGTAAACCAGCAGACCAGCAATCATCAATTGAAACTGAATAAAGTACACACAAGAGGAATGATTCAGTTAGTAAAGACTAAATGAATAATGCATCAACGACAACAAATACAGAAGACATTTACCTTGGTCCCACAGCAGATTACCAATCAGTCTTCATGGGCAAATGGTGATCTCATTAAGGTGAGTTCTGGACATGAAAAAGAGAAACAATGCAAATGTAAGTATTCCTCAATGAAGTAATAGAAATTAGAACACATTATGGAAAAATGAATTATTGATCTTACCACCAGGTTCTGCCTCTTCCACAGTTGTATCTTCGAGTGTCATTGTTGAGAAGAGTCCATCCAATGCCTCCACAGCAGCCTCCGAATCTGCAGAGAACCAGTTGAATGAGTTCATACTATTCTTAAAACGTAAACCAATAAACTTGAGAGATTTAGTTGCATTTTACCTCGTTGCATGTCCTCCATTATCCAACTCCTAGTACACATCATTGCCTCCACAGTCGAATAATACAGCCTGCTCCGGTGAGGGTCTAACAAAATGCACTCTCAGAAGGCACAGAAGTAATAGGGATTGCCAGAAAGTCCCTTGCAATTGATTGCAAGGTCGGATACTTCAAACCATTCAATTTCCACCACAAGAGCATATCAAACTCTGCTGTGCGAGGAATGATATCCTCAGCAAGATACATATCCAACTCAGTTGTAATCAAGGAAGTCTTACTCTTTTTCCTTTGACTTACAAAGAGTTCAAAATCAAGTTCAGTGGCAGAGGCAGATCCAGAATCAGAAGAAGAAGTTCCAGTGTCAGAACCAGATTTGTTCTCAGCTTTGGTTTGATAATCACGAATCAAACCACATATCATTTGCTTGATATTCTCAGCAACCAAACCAGTTTCTGTATTCCCAAACTTTCCAGCATAGTATTCAATCACATGGATTTTATATCTAGGATCCAAAACAACCGATACAGCAAGCACAAGATGGATATCATCCCAGTACTTATCAAACTTCAGTGACATTTGACTAGCCATTCCAAAAATCACAGGATTGGGATCAAGACCCCATTCATTCAGTTTAAGTCTGAGATCACATATCTTTGGGAAGAACAGATTGGCAGTCGGATATTTGGAACCAGAGAACAACTCAGTAATCTCAGAAAAGATTTCCAGCTTCCCAATCACAGTAGAAGCAAATTCCCATTGTTCACTAAAAGGAACTGATGTGTAATGATTGTCTCTCAAACTCAAACGAAAGAAAACATCCTTGTAGGGAATAGCAACAGATAGCATATGATATGTGGAATTCCACCTAGTTGGAAAATCAAGGACTAACTTTTTCTCAACAGATAGCTTAAGTTGCTTAGCAACTTCGAAGAAGGTTTGAACCCTCTTAGGTGTAGAATTCCAGTAAACTACACTATCCCTAATCAAATTTATAGCATCCTTGATTGCATCCAAACCATCCCTTACAATCAAATTCAGAATATGAGCAAAACACCTCATATGAACCAATTTAGCATCAAGCAACAAGTCACTGCTCAGAAGCTTAGTTCTCATGAATCATGGAATCATTGGTGGTACAGTTGTCCAATGTGATTGAGGACAACTTACCATCAATGTTCCAATCCAAAAGACAATCAAACAACCTATCAGCAAGCCTTTCACTAGTGTGAGGGGCTGGAACATACATAAATCTCATCATTATGTTACGGAGCTTCCAAGAGTTATCAATGAAGTGACCAGTTACTGCCATATAACCCCTTTTCCGATTTCTGGCAGTCCACAAATCAGTTGTAATTGAAACCCTCCCCAGGTTACCATCAATAATGGTATGATATTTACCCCTTTCAACACCATACAAACTCAAAACGTCCTTTTTGACAGTGTTTCTACTAGGAACAGCGAACTGAGGTTGAAGAGAACAGCAAAAACGTTTGAAACCCACATGATCAACAAGGCTAAGGGGGTACTCATGGACCAGAATCATTGAACAAAGTTCCTTCCTAGAAACCTCATAATTGTATTGAGAAGCAGAGAGTTAAGGATTTCCAGCGGGTTTATAGTTAGGGCCAAGTATTTTTTGAGAACCATCATGTATCCTCTTTTGGATACATGTTTTGATATGGCTTCTTAGGTGTGAAGTTCCATTACTTGTTTCCCCACCAAGGGATTTACGACAGTACTTACACCTAGCCTTCATAACCCCATTAACCCTAACTCGGTTAAAGTGAGGCCACACATCAGAAGTTAACCTACGTTGAGCTTCAAGCTCCTCAATATTACCAGGTTGTTCAGGTTGAGGTTGGACAGGTTGTTCAGGTTGAGGTTGGACTTGGACACCATTTTCAGGGTCATTGACATTGGGAGCAATGTTAACATTTATGGCAGTAGGAGCACCTTCCATCTGAACATAATATATATTAAGCCTTAGTTAATACTTAATAGTTATTTACTTAGTTACATTCCATCTGAACATTAAGCCTTAGTTAATAGTTGTTAACTTAGTTACATTCACAATGACAAAACTAAACTTGCAAACAAACATCTTTAGCAGCAAAATCACGCTTACAGTTTAATTAATTTTACTTAATAGCATTATGAATCCACTGATTGTCACAACAAGTCGCAGCATTATGAACAAACAGTCAAACACAGTGAGTTGAGGCTTAGGAGTTAGGAGAGGACTGGGATTACCTTCTCGGATTGGAGTTTTATGTGCAGTGTCGAGTACCCAATGACAGTAGACTGCTCCTCACTGCTCACTGACTCTGTTCTGCTTCAGTTCTCTAAACCAGTAAACCCGATCCAAAGTTCCAAACAAGACCAAGTGACGAACCTAGCCCAAACAAGAGTGAACAAGAAGAGTCAGTGAACAACGAACAAAAAGCAAGTTAGAACTGGAATTTAATGCATGCATGTCTATATTATGAGACCACTAACCCATAAATCATAAAAAGTATAGACGAGATCAAGAAACTTACCCTCG